AGATTGTTGGATGATGCACTTGGACCACTCGGAACTTAGTGATGTGCGTTCTTCTCACTACGGCGCAGGAGTACTTTCACCTGGCCAAGGGCAGAGACTTGGGCTTCAACTCCGTTTCTCGGTGATTTTGAGTGAGAAACTGCGCCATGCCGCAGTAGCTGGTAGGTGCAAGCAGTACAAGCCCCAGTCTCTTGCAGAGCATGTTGGGTCGTGCTGCCGTGCTGAGGTTTTGAAGTTCTTCTCCAAGCTGTCATCTGGCTCCGGCGAGCAGCTGCTGACGCGTCAAATGTTTCGGCTTGGCCAGCTGTTGTGCCTGAGCTGCATGTAGAGAGCAAGAGACCGCATGCCGAGCATCCGCAGTCATGTGGTGACAGCCAAGCCTCGAGCACCGAGGCCGCTTCCTGAAGCTTTGACGTTGCAGCTCGGCTTCCTTCAGATACGGACATGTCCGGAGGCGCGGCAGAAGTATGCAGAAGTGATGTGTCCGGCAAGGTACTATGCGCATGCAGGGTACTATGTGACACAATTTCTTCTCTCTTGGGTAATGCCCACCGCGCCTGTGCTGCAAGGGAATAAGGGTTGACTTGTGGAGTCATTTTTTTTGCCACCTCTAGAGCTTAGAGCTGCGCGCCGTGTGCTCTGTATGTTTCCAAGCTGAGGTCATGTTCACCTGGGCTCTGGTTCTTGCCTCGGACTGCGATGGCCACTTCGAGGCCTTCGAGTCCAGCTGCGCCCGCCGCCCTGCGGCGGAGCTCATGGGGAGGCCCACGGCCGCGGGGCCTGAGATTTCAATATATACACAAACAAATAAGTAAGCTGCCGTGGGGATTTTTGGGGAGAGCCTTTGGCCGTGGCGACTTGCGATGCGCAGGATGTTGGCCAGCATCTACACCTTGGCACTGCTGCTCCTGGTGCTTCTGGCAACGGCTCTTCCGCTCTTCATGGAAGAGTGGCTGCAAAGGACCTACGAGTAGCCTTGCCTCATGTCTTCGTTTGCTTACCGGCCAGCAACCTTGAGTGCGGGAGAGGAGCTTCAAGCTCGCTGTGCAGCGGCTGCTGAAGCAAGTGTTCACGCTCTCCTTCTTGATGCAGCCTGGCTAGAGTCGACAACTTCAGCGCTCGAGAGTGCTCAGCCTTGCTCGTTCCTTAAGTCAAGGTTCGTCTTCCAAGCCAAAATAATTGGCTTCTACGTATCTTGGAAGCATTGCAGGAAGATTCTCTAGCTTTGGGGGTCTGACCAGCGATCAAGCATTCGAGCACAATATCTGCCTTGCTCAGGTGATCAATGAGTTGCGCTACGGCAGCTGGGTTCAATACGATCGAGGGATGTAGACGGTCAGTATTGGCTCGTACTTCGCTGCTGTATCTTGCCGGTTGTGTCGAGAGCCAAAAGATAGAACTGGGGATGTTCCTGGGTGCATGGGCCCATGGATGTTCGATGGATATCGGGCTTGCGGGTGACCCTGGCGGACCCGGAAGCAGCTGAGGCGGTGCCAAGTACATCAGCACTGGCAGAAGTTTGCCCACAGAACGTCGGCACTTCATTCGGGCCAAGCCGGGGTCTGACGATGACTTCGATGGCGGGAGCCCCGGATACAGCTGCAGCACTATGCATGCAGGCAACTCAAGCATGCCAGCATGCCGCTGTACGCAGGCCTTTACTTAGACTACGCGATGCAAGCGTTTTATGATGGCCTCGTCCTCCTGATCGCCTCCGTCATGGTGGTCGGACTGGGCGGGCGTGCACCTTACTCCACCCTTGCTCCATGCCGGGACCGAGATTTCGTGAGTGGACTCTTGGTTGCTGCACTACGCAAACCCAGGATGAACTCCGTTAATGTCTACCGAGCCTTGGCCGAAAATAGCCTTCAAGGGATTCCCGAATGGAAAAGTGCCTTCAGAACGGAAAAGTGCCTTCAGAATGGAAAAGTGCCTTCAGAGTGCCTTCAGAGTGCCTTCAGAGTGCCTTCAGACGAGCCCGGCCGTGAGCTCCGGCGTTTCAAGTGGGGATGTTCTTTCAAACCAAGGGAGTCGGCTTTCGCCGGTCTGGGTCTGCTGAGCGCTCAGATGTTTTCCACTTCAAGATGCTAAGGCAGTAGGAACTCGTAGTCTTCACCTCGAAGCCGTGACCAGATGGATTGAGAGATGACCGATACGCCGAGGCATTGGACTGACAATCACTTCTTGGCTTTATGCCCCTTTCATCTTCAACCCGCACCAGTTCGCCCGTCGCCACATAGAGGAAGACAGGACCTTGACTCCCTTGGCTGTGCATTGACGCCTGGAAAGGGCGGCAACCTTTGTGATACTCCCGACGCTGCCCCCGCCGTGAGGAGAAGCTTGTGTGCCTTTTTCTTCAAGAATTGGGGCCGGGGATGGATCCGCTGGTATGAGGCAGCGTGTCGGGATCTTCAAAAAGCCGAAAAACTCGCACTGCGAACAGTTTACTCCACCTTCCCTGCAGACGGGGTGTTGTGTGTGTGTCATTCAGGAATGTCAGTTCAAGCCACGCACTGGATTAAGCATCTCCATGTTGGACTTCAACTTTCTCTTTGTGGCTGGCCTGCAATCGGAGGAGCAAGAGCCATGAATGTCAGAGTGTTGTCTGGGCTGGAAGTTCTCCTGAGGTATTCTTGGGCGTGTCTGTTTGGTTTGCAGTTGTCAACCACAAGGCTGGCAACTTTGGCCTTTGGATCAGGTCAACGCTGCAAGGGTCGCCTTTGTGATGCCCTGTGAAGGTCAGCATGCTGCAGGTAGTCTTCTCGAAGCACGCCCTCATGGAGGAGGCCCGTGCATGCGTAGTGCGTTCAGGTTTCTTCATGCCCATCCTTGCGCGTGCTCGTGATTGCGGTTCCTGAAGGTGGCTGCCCTGACACTGCTTCCACCGGTCGTGTTCTCCCTGGTCTTCTGCATGTTAGCCACCCTTGGGTGTAGTTTCACCAACTGTATCAGGACCTCTGGGGTTGCTGCACATTTTGCCGTTTTGCAGCTCTTCAGATGTAGGCCGTTCCGGCGATTTTGCACCGGAGGAGAAGTTGCAAATCGACTTCGCAGTCCAGCTGGGACTTGATGATACTTGTCGCGAATATGCTGCAGCTGTCGGGAATGCAGCTTCTGCTCGAACGATGACAGTGATGGCGCTTGCAGGAGGATCTTGGTGCCCATGCTGACACCAGTTGTGGTTTTGCTGGAAATTGCCGAAGCTGCTGTTTGCTTGGATATCCTTCGGAACACTGGCCGATGGAAAGACTACATCGCAGGGCTGCTTGCAGGAATGACAGGAATGAGAAGATGAGCAGAGTAGAGCAGCGTCTAGTGCGAGTCAGATTATACAAAGCTCCTTGCAAGAGCTTAGGTTCATCTTGAAGTATCTTCTCTTGGAGGTGATGATATACCTTGCAGAAGGCGGGCGAAGCTTGAGGGCGCATGTCGAAGCTCTCTCTCTCTCTCTCTGTTTCTTTCTCTCTCTCTCTCTCTCTCTCTCCCTCTCCCTCCAATTCTCTCTATGCAGGCCTTTTGCGATCACGCTGTGCGAGAGGGAGGTGTTGCAAACCGGAGCGCGGGCTTCAGGCAGATGCTGTGGGCAAAGCAGCAGGGCATGACAAACAGCAGTACTTGTAGCAAGCGTTTTCTAGCAAATACCTGATCTTTGCAGGCCCTGTACTTCTGGGTTCTCACGAATCGGATGCTTCTGAACGGCACAGGGTGATTCAGGGTGACCACATGGCCCACAAGCACACGAACAAACGCGCGCGCATGCACGCACTTTGTCCTTACTGGTAGCTGCTCAACTCAGGTTCAGGGACATGATCACGTCGACGGTCATTCTAGTACCCCTCCTCATCCTCAGCTATCTCAACAGCGCACTGGGAATGCTGTGCAGCTCCTTTGACCTGCACGTGGCTCGACTTTCTTTCAGGTGCGTGTCTGCCACACTGTTTCCCTTCTATCGGATGTAGCAGTTCACACAAGTCCATCATCTGGTCTTCCTCTTTTTGCAGCGAACTCTTAGAGCGGACGGAAAGCCAACTTGTGGAGCAAAGGAGTTCCTGATCTATCGCAGCACCGGCCATCGAGCTCGCCGCCGGTCCTCGGCGTGTGGGGACAGACTGGGATCAAAAGACGCTTGAAAAGTGCAAGTCGGCGGAGTGCGGCATGTAACGTTGTAAGAGGCATGTAGAGAGGCATCGCAAGAGGTATCGTAAGAGGCTTCATGCTGCTGCCCTGACCATTTGGAGAGCATGCGACCTGGCCTGCACCCTCTGCGCCAGCTGTGACCATTACGGGTCCCTTAGCACCCCGTGGTATGCTACATCTGCACACAGCAATGATCGCACAAACTGGCCAGGAGACGGAGTCGGAGCTCAGTGAGGAGCAAACGGAGCAAACGAGCAGCAGCGACGAGGCGAGAGATCACGAGACGTCTACTGTTCTTGCAAAGCTTTCAAGGCTTCTAGGGGGCTTGGAACCGCAATCAACGCTCTCAGCGCTCGTTGATGACTTCGCAGCCAGGCAGCACCTCTCCCAGTGAGAGCGAGATGACTTTCTGCCGCAGGTCACACTCACGATGGCGCAGGTCGTCCAACTCGAAGCCAGTCTTAATGCGCTCGGCATCTTGCACCGTTCAATGTGATGCGTCAATGTGCAGTGCAGGACTTGCTCGTGCGAGGGATTTCCTGATCATGGAGGTGATGGTTGGAGCCTGTAGCCAAGTTCAAGACCTCTCTGAGAAAGCCTTAGCCATCCTTCGAACAGCGTAACGGTGAGTCTGTGAGGCAGCACGGCCGGCGCGGCAGGGAACGGCCGGGCACGGCTGGCAGACTTCCGCGAAGAAGGACATGAGCACTCGCCGGCTCATTGCAGAAGCTCCTGCATCGATTTCTCCACAGAAAAAGTGTGCATTGTCCAGAGTCCAGATCCACATGGGATGCCTCGAGCTGGTGTTGTTCTATCAGTCAAGAGCATTGTCGCCAAACTGCCATCGACCCCCGCTCGCTAAGTGACGTCGTGGAGCTGCGACCTGGATCCAGAAAGCAGAAGCTGCGGTCATCCGCCAGCATTGAATTGCTGTTCGTGTGCTGACTCTCTGCGAGTTTGGTTGAGTTCGTCATGCATCTTGACTTTGAACATCTTCGTGCTGTACCTCTCTTGCATTGCTCGTGCACGTAGACTAGGGTAGACATAGCAACAGATGTCTCAAACGAGGGACTCCGGTGGTGGTTTCCATGTTTTTCCATGGCATACCAGGCGGATGTGGCGCGGCCAGGCGTCTGACCCATGAGGGAGTGGAGTTGTGCAAGTAGTGAATGCCAGATTCAGGCAGCATAGCTCAGCATAGTCATACACAGGCACGCAGTGCACGTGAAGTGAAGAGCAGGTGTACCGCGTCTCTGGTTACGATGACGGAGCGTCGTCAGATGAGGAGTACTCGTAAGTGTAAGTGAATGCTAACTTACGAATTACGGGTATACCGATAGACGTTTCTGCCTGCACCTGGTACAAATATTTCTCTTTCAACAATGACTCTGCTAGTACCTTGGAATACCTTGGAGGAGCTACCTCCAGGACGATGCAGCGTCTCCTGGATTGGAGACAATCTCCACCAGACACCGGGCTTGCGAATGAAGGCACGGACACAGGTTGGCTCAGATCGGCTCACGCCACAAGCTCACTGACTCTGGCTCACTCTGGCTCACTCTGGCTCACGGACTATGTCCCTTCAGTGGTCGACTATTGCTGGGGTGGCAGCGTTCCGTCAGGAATCTTCTTTGCAGCTGATCGATAGACCCTTTGTCATCGGAGATCGCGTGTCTGCCGTCAAGGCTCGCTGTAAACATAGACAAGTGTCACAGGCAAGTTCCGGCAATGATTGTTAGCTTGGGCGCTGCGCGGAGTGCCCTCAAAGTTTCGCTGGCCAGGATCCCCAGTCTCTGGGCCTTGTTGTGGATGTTCGCCCCGCCTTCACCTTGCACAAGCGCGTGCATGTTGTATCGGCAATGTGAGCAGAGAGAGAAGCCGAGAGAGAGAAAGCTTAAGTGCAGAGAAGAAGGAGGAGGAGACGGACAACAGACGAAGAAGAAGAAGAAGAAGAAGAAGAAGAAGAAGAAGAAGAAGAAGAAGAAAGAAGAAGAAGAAAGAAGAATAAAGAAGAAGAAAAAGAAGAAGAAGAAGAGGAGTAGAGAAACATAGAACAAGGCATAGTCTTTGGTGTCAGATCGAGAAGTGCCTGCGACTCGCTGTGCCTATGGCTGTAGCAAACAAGAGCACCTCCAACCAGTTGCCCAAAGCAAGGAGTAGAGTCTAGAGCCTAGAGTTGACTAGCGCCTGATTAGGTTTTTTTGCGCAACTTACTGTCCCAGTCACAGGTCTTCTTGATTTCCCCAGCGGCATCATGTCACGCGCAAGCATGTTAAACATGGCATGTTGCAGCCTACTTGCCGTCACCCGCTTTATGGATCTCATGCCATGTGATGACCCTGCTTGCCGATGGACGCTTGGCAGCGGAATGCAGAGTTCGCGCTCTCTCGGAGATCGGTATGCCATGTGGTGTCATCAAACTGCGCTATCGGCTTGCCCAGGGCTTGCCTGTTTCCATAGGCAGCTGCTGCCTACCGAGCTGGCCAGTTCTCCGTCGCAGAGGGGCTGTACACGGAGGCTAGCCTGCAGCGATGGTAGGAGTGCCGCGCCAACACAACCACAAGGGAAAACCAGCTAGCGTGCAACCTTGCAGAGCTGCATTGCAGGCGCTGGAATCTGCAGAGGATGCCGAGTCCCGTACATCTGCCCTGGTCAGTCGAGCCCAGCAGCGGTCTCGTGACAACTTGCTGTAGCCAGCTGAAGTTTTTGCGCTGACAGTTGGCAAACTCGGACGGTTGGTTTCTTGGGGCCTTAGAATGTCTCAGACCTCCTCGATTTCCCGGGCATTGACCATTGACATTGAGAAAATGATAAATGTGGCTGCTTCAGGTGCCGGCTGAAGCTGCAGCGCTTCGAAGATGCACGGGAGGCCAGGTGCCACCTCACTTGAGAGCCCTCATGCCAGATGTCATTCAGGATGCGGCGGCGGCACGTGCCCTTGCACCTGAGAACCCGAAAGCCTGGTGCGCCCACAATTGCGTCCTCACAATGTGAGAGTCATCAGGGGGTGAGTAAAACTTACGTCGTGTTCATAGGGAGACAAACGCTCTGTTTGGAGAGCTGCTTTCGATGCTTCGGAATCTTTTTTCAAGCAGAGAGAGGTATCGCCTGGGCGTGGCCAACGCCCACCTGGCCAGACTCGAAGAGGCCCCCCCCTCTGCAAAAAACGTACTGTCTGCACAAAACAACACACCCACACATCCACTTTACGCATCGCGGCCCAAACACATCTGTCCAGAAACGGCGAGCAGTTTGAGGCAGAGGAGGCGCTGAAGGAAGCTCTGTCCTTACGGCCCGCCGACAAAGATGTTGCGGGCTCACTGCTCCGAAACGGCAGCAAAGTGCTAGGGTTATGTCAGGTGCACACTTTAGCTTGTCCTTGGTCTTCTTTTGAAGGTAGCATCTGCACTCACGTCTGCGGCAGGCCCAGTTTCGATCCCTCAAGTCTTAAGAGCATCAATCGCAGAGCCACCACTGTGCAGAGCTTGCCTTGCAAAGCCTTGCAAAGCCTGGGTTCCGAGGTACGACGGCGGCTGCTGGAGGCAGAGGGCCGCTACGCCTGGCTGGAGGCTCTCCGAAACTCTCCTTTTCGGATCAGTGGACGGTGCATACTGCGCTGCAGCATCCGCAGCCTTTGCCTTCGTGTCAAGACGTAGGGTTGTAATTTCATGTAATTTCTCAGACAATCAGATGCAAAAAGGCCGTGCCTTTTCATCTCCTCACGCGTTCCCGTGTTGGCAAGTGGATCCCATGGGGCTGACAAAGCTAGCAATAGGCAATAGCGCATGCTTGTGCATTTTTGGTGGTAAGTGGCTCAGCATGGGAGGTGTATGAGCAATACTTCCAGACCGGCACTTTGGCAGTTGCGAGCGGCTTAGCTGGGGCGTCGGCTAGAAACCTGCTGTGGCCTGGACATGTCGAGTGTCGAGGCCAAAGCCAAGCAGAAGCAGATGCCCAGTCCTCGAGATCCCTGCCTTCCCCGCAACCCCGCCCGCCCCCGCCCTCAAAATGTCACGGCCTGGGCACCAGGTCGCAGGAGGGAGGATCAGGTGCAGAGGCCGAACCACCGGTGAACCTGTAACAAGCTGAATCAAGCGGCGACAAGCTCTGGAAGTTTTATCCCCAAGTGCTCCCAGGGAGAAGACTTTGTCATTGCAAGTCTGGATGTGGAGCCGTATGTAGGTCCCGTGTCTGCCTGAGAAGATGTTTGAAGGTTCTACATTTGACACCTGATATGTGGAACCCGAGATGTCCTTATGTTGAGGTTCGGATCGGCCATTCCCCAGAGCGAGGCGGCGCGTTGCCTCACACGATCGTTGCATGATCTGCGTTGGCTGCTCTTGGAGGCCGGGGCCTCTTCTTGACGGAAGACGTCCCGCAAGGAAGGCGTCTGTAAGGAGAGTTCCATTCTCTCAACATCTTCCATGTGCAAAAAAAGCCATAGCCAGATCGTACTTTCAGGCATCTCCTTCGATAGTGCGTCCTTTTGTATGGACGTGCCGACCTAAATCAGCCCCCATGTGGTAGTGCGGCGCACCACAATGCCACAGGGCCTCCAGCCTACCCCGTTTCATCCTCCTGTTCATCCTATTCAGCCGGCCATGCACTTTGTTCGTCATTTTGTCTCACATGTGCAGGCATTCTGAGTGCATAGTGAAGTAACGCGAATCAGCAGTTGCTTCGTCCAATCTTCCACATTTTAGACAGAAAATCTTTAGGCAAGCATTATCGCTTCTCAGTACTTGTCGGCATGATCTGTGTATGCGTAGAGCGGAGTGCGCCGGTTCTTGCGCATCCGGTGAGGAGCGGCATCTGGGCGAACGCAAGAAGCATGATGTAGCACTGTTGTACTTCCTGCGAGACTCTTCTGAGAGGCTACTCCTCTGTGCACAAGCCTTGGTAACCGGCCTGAACGAGGAGCCGAGCCTGCCCGGCCTTTCCTCAAGGGCTTTCTGTTTTTGCGCCACACAACTGTTGTGCTACCTCCTGTGCCACTGTAGTAGAGCTTCGAATGTCGCAAGTTCAGGATCTGCCGCGTCTTCTTCAAGAAGCTGCCAGAAGTGAGGAGGTCGGGCAAGTGCTGCGAAGCTCGGAGCCCAGTCGTGTAGCCATGGATAGCCATGGCATGGCTTTTTATGCCCGTGCTCGGTGCCCTTAGGTCTTTCGCGCGGCACCAAAGAATCTGAAGAGGAGGTACCGCTCGAAGTTCATGTTGATGTCCCATGCTTTTCCATGCCCCGTGCTTTGTGCCAGATGCCACTTCTCAGCCCTGCGCAACTGGCAGCTCCGAGGAAGCTCCTGAGGGCAGAGGCCCCGATCCGGTCGTAACGGTCAGCAAGTGAGGAGCTGCAAAAGTTGAGAGATGTTGAGAGAGTTCCTCGCCACATTAGTGCCAAAGAATGTGTGCGCAATCTCTGTCAGGCCACATCTGAAGTTGAAAGTTCGTGACCCTGGCTTTCTTGCGCCAGCGCTATCCGGCAGTGTAAGGTCCGTACCAGTACAGTGCCGGCATTTTACTTGAGCTTTTGCAGCTGTAGCACGCAGCAGGGTGGAAGAGATGAAAGCCGTCTTATACTACAATCAGCGCCTTAGCAGTAATCTAGGGCATTTCGGCAGGGGTGATTGAGATCAGCTCCCCTAGTTGCAGCTGCGATGTCCTGAGCCTAGAAGACTGTCCCGGCAACAACTCATGAAACGTCACATCCTAGGTTTGGCCTGCCCATTGTGAACCCCAATGCTGCACCTCTGGAGATTGGCAACGCCGCTGGCCTTGGGGGCATTTGCCAGCAACGATGACGGTCAGAAGGTTTGGCCGTGCACGCTCAGGATCCTGAGCGCTCAGGGCTCTGGCTGCTACCGGTCTACGTAAACCACTCGTGTTTGCCCAACGTGCTCGCCTTGGATCGCCTTGGATCGTCTTGTGCTGCATCGTTGCGGCTCCCAAGGTCCAGAGGCTGATCGTTCTGGACTGCTTGTTCTTGCGAGCTGGCCTGGGCCTTCAGATGCCCACTGTGCTGGAAGCATTCGTGCTGGAACGGTGGAACTTTTGCAGAGTGCAGAGTGCTTGAAGGGTGTCGTGCTGCTCAGAACAATTCGGGGTGTTCGCCCCATCGGGGGAGGCCGCGACCTCAAAGCTGGAGAGGAGCTCTTCGACAGCACTGGCCCCAGGAGACTCTTCAATTTCTATCTGGACCTATTTGGAGTGTCCCACCCCCCCAAGGCTACGCAGAGACCTTGCAGTCAGAGACTTTGCTGCCGCAAGAGCTTGACAGCCCGAGTTTGCAAGCAGCTTCAAGCAGTTCTGCTTCGCCGCTTTTGACTCCTTTGACGCTGCACGAGGCCTTGGTACCGACGGCGGGACTCGTTGGATTCTCGGTTGCAAGTTCAGGAATGATTCGTCCGACAGCCTCCGATTTCTCTCCGTCTGACGGATGTTGGTTCCGAGCAGAGAGCAGCTCTCTCCCTTCTTTGTGCAGAGATGCAAATTACAGTTGCATGTGGGTTGCAAAATTGCTGTCAATGTGTGTGTATATATATGTGTGGCAGTTTTTGCATCTGTTTGTTTATCTTGTTTTTTCTCTTGGTGTCGAAATTGATTGAGGCAAGCTATGGCTTCCATTGCTGCTGTGAGAGGTGCCGGCTTGAAGAGGCAACATGGGGAGGGACGGTCGGTTTGTCTAACTGACTAGAGGGAGGGCCCATTTTTTCATAGCTACAGGGATGGACTCTACAGGCCCTTGTATAGCAGTGTGCCTACTGCCAGAGCTCTGCGCTTTGCGAACGTTTATTTTGTGGATCAGGCAGTGCTTGGCCAGCAACAAAAGGCTGTGGAAGACCTTCTGGAGCAGGACTGGCTTGCGTTGCAGGTTCACGGCAGGTGCTCATTGCATAGGTTGCAACATGAGTTGAGACTGTTGAGACTGTTGAGCCATGCCCACGCTGGCCATGTTCACATCAAAACGGCCACCCAATGATGCTGCTGATGCTCGCTTCCTCGACCCAAAGATGCCACGGATGCTCGCCTCCCTCCGTTGTGTCAGCTGCCCTGATGGGACTCCTTAACCGTGCAACGAAGCCTTGCGAAGAATGTGGAGCCCTTTCTTGCCTTGCTCCAGGCTGCAGAGGCGGTACGAGGTGCGCGCTGCAACGCTTCACGAGATGCTGACGGTAGAGTCTAGGGAAGCTTGCGGCACCTGATGCGACCCCTGTGGCCGCCAACCTCCCCCCATTCTCGATGCTTGTGCTTCTAAGCCAGCTTGGCAGGGGCAGATGGTGCGGAATTAGCCGAACGCACGGAGGTCGGATTTTGATTGACTTGTCAACTTGTCTGCTTGCTATTCTTGTGATGCATCTGTCACATAGGTTCGATTCGTAACTAAACCAATCTAAACATGACAATCCATGCGCCCTGAGCTTCATGCCCCATCAGCGATTTTCCTCATCGACAACCCTTCAGCACCACCGACCTACCAATCTCCTAACCCTTCCTTCTCCACCAGAAGAACCAGAATTGGAGGGTAGGCCTCTTACAGGGAGTACTGCAGGTCCGTTTGGGGTGTGGGCGGGATTGCTGCCAGGCCGTTGCCACCGGCGCCGAGGTATTTACTGTCCGATCCTTTTTTTTGAGAGTGGCTGACACACCGCTGTGATCTATACTTGCCACACAGCGCTCACAGCTCAGGCCAAGACACTCGCAACTGCACTGCAAGAAGGCGCATGAGCTTGAGGACGGTTTCAAGGTGACAGGGGCAAGGGGCGGCAACATCTTTGCGAAAGGGCGCGCTGCCACTCTGCAGATGTCGATGTACGAGGCACGGCACGTCGCACCAACAAGGCATCTCCTGTTGTTCTTAGTACCAGCTTTCAATGTCTGCATGGCCAGTTGCCAGCCACCCCCCTCTCGGCTCAGAGGATGGCCGCATGCTTGGATCCGCAAGTGGCGCAAATAAAAGCGGATTCACCAGAGCTCTGAAACCTTCACCTGTTCCTCAAGGCATTGCTTCGGGACGGCTTCGAGAGATGTGTGGATGATGCGGAGCAGCGATGCTTCGAGCAGCAAGACAAGCTGCAGGTGCTTCCTGTCCACAAAACTGGGATGTGTCTGCGCCTTAACTGACTTCCTTGCGCAGGCACTTCTCCTGGGCAGCCTTGCAAACGTGTCGCAGCACTCAGAAGTTTAGCTCGGCTTTCAAGTGTCGCCTCACATGGAGACAACTTGGCCCTCAGGCTGCGAGGCTTCGCACTAAGCCTGCGAGGCGAGGCTTTCCGATAGACTCCTTTCGCTGCATTGCGTTTCCCAAAAGCGCCTCGCCTGACACACAGGCCTCAACCGCTATGTGGAGGCGCAACTTTTCACTCCCACCATCTCTCGCCCAAGAGTGAAGAAGAACCATGTGTAAGAAGTGTGACGAGTGCATGAGAATTTAGGTAGAATGTCTTGCACGACTTGCCAACGGCAGGCAGCAGCTGCTTGGTCCAGAGTCTTGGATGCTCTGGAGCAGGCATTGAGAATGCAGCGCCCGTGAAGCTATCAATGAAGCTGAATTAGCGTACAATATCAAGACTAGCTAAGCAGTTATGAGCAGGATCCGGTAGCATTGGTGGTATGCTGACCACATCTCTGAAGCTTTTGCATAGATCGAACTTCCGAACAGGTGATTCCGAGTTCCGAGCTTGCTGCAATTGTTGCCAATGACATGCTGAGCCAGACTCTTAGGACATAACAGGAAGTTCAGTGCTTGGCACGCACAGCTCTGACTCCTACGTGCCGGATACTTGTGTTGAAGGCAACAAGCTGCTGGCATTCCATCTGGACTACAAGAAAGCAGCTCAGAAGGAGACATCCCTCGCAAGCAGCCGGATGAGATGTCAGGGTCAGAGGCTTTTCTTCTGATGTATTGCATCTGACGTATCGAGGCGCGTGGTAGCCCTGTAACCAAGCCATGCCAGTATTTTGACCAGATAGAGTCCGAGCAGAGCAGCAGAAACCATTTGGCAGTATTCAAGGAAGGGAGACCAAAGTCGGAAACCAAGAAGAACCGGTCGGGAACAAGAGTCATTCAGAAGCCAGCCTCGAGTCAAAAGAGGAAGAAGCGCACAACATTTTGGGAGGTGACTTGGCCTTCCTTTAAAAACACCCAAGTGAAATACTTCCATGCACCTTGAAGCAGCTTCACTGGGTTATGGGCCCGTTACAGAAAAAGTGCTACCCACTTCAGACACTTCTCAGCCCTCTTCTAGCCTCTTGATTCGAGGGCCTTACATACTTTCCTTTCGCGATTCCCGGGATAGGGACTTAGTGACTCCTGCCTGGCACATTCCTGGACTCTCCCCCCGTTAGTTTCCGAGCCCTGAGCAGCATGTTGCTTAAAGGGAACTTGGATCCTCGTGTCAGGAGCTTCGCCGGGCTCTTCTGCGAAGCCACCAGGTACAGCTGTGAGAGGCTACAGGGGCTGGTAGGGGCTGGTGAGTGCTCAGACTTCTGAGGCGTATGGTGGAGGGGTAGCAACCTGGAGCTTCTTAACTTCCAAGCTCTTTGCGCAATCCGTGGGCCCCTCAGCCCCTGCCGTTGCCAAACTGGGCCTTGCCGGAATATTGCATGTGTCACGTCACATTGCCTGCGAGGTCTTGGACGGAGGCGCCGAAACGTCTGGGACCTTGGGTTCTCCAGACTCAATTACGCGACTCCCTGAAGCAGCGCATATCGGCCCAGTTGGAGAGCCATGCAGAAGGAGCAGTCCAAGCTTGCGTCCGGCCGGGAGCAGGGCTACTGCCCAAAGGCAGGGTGATTCCTGTCAGTCCTGGCCCGCCAGAACTAAGCCCGAAGAGTTGAGTGAAACTGAATAGCAGCAGAATGGTTCATGCTCGGCACATCCTTCCACCCACTTTGAAGATCAAGCTTCACCTCCGGGCAGGATGCCACCGTGGCGGCTGCAGAAGAGCATAAAGAGGCAAGCGTTTGCAGTTGTGCAAACATCAACCTGCTGTAGACAGCTAGGACGCTAGGACACATGATACATGTATCGTCTCGGGCTGCCCCCCCCCCCCCCACCCACCCCCCATGGTATTCCTCCCCCCTCCCTTGGATCCCAACCCCCACGCCCCCTCTTTGTGGTGTGGGTGTGGTTGGGGGGTTGGCGTTTCGGGTTTAAGGTTTAAGGTTTAGGGCCTACCCCCGCACTCTCGTTGTGGTGTGGGTGTGGTTGCGGGGTTGGGGTTGGTGTTTAAGGTTTAGGGTTCGGGGTTTAAGGTTTAGGCCCGTGGTGTGACTGGGGGGTTGGGGTTAGGGTTTGGGGTTGAGGGCTTAAGAGACCCGACGGTACAGACTGCAGAAATCGGAGCCTTAAACTCGAGACGGCCGGGTCCGATAGTAGCGACGGCAGAAATCGAAGCCTTAAACTCGAGACTGCCGGGGCCTGGAACCCGATAGTAGAGACTACAGAGACCGGAGCCTGAAACTCGAGACTGCCGGGGTCTGGAACCCGATGCAGAAACGGGAGCCTTAAATTAGAGACTGCATGCAGGGGCCTGGAACCCGATAGTAGAGACTGCGGAAACCGGAGCCTTAAACTAGAGACTGCAGGCACCTGGAACCCGATAGGGGAGAGGTTTGGGGTTTGGGGAAAGGGGGGGGGTTCCGTGGGGGCGGGGGGGGGGGGGGGGGGGGGGAGATTGGGGGGGGAAGATTTGGGGGGGGGGGGGGGGGCGGGATACCATGGGGGGGGTAGGGCCGGGAGCCCGAGACCAAATATATATATATATATATATATATATATATACGTTATGTATGTACGTATGTGTATGTATGTATGTATGTATGTATGTATGTATGTATGTATGTATGTATGTATGTATGTATGTATGCATGCATGCATGCATGTGTGTGTGTGCATGTATGTATGCATGCATGCATGCATGCATGTATGTATGTATGTATGTATGGTGCACAGTATGTATGTATATGTGTATATGTGTATATGTGTCTATGTGTCTATGTGTCTATGTGTCTATGTGTATATGTGTATATGTGTATATGTGTATATGTGTATTTGTATGTATGAATGAATGAATGAATGTATGTATGTATGTATGTATTTATGTATGTATGTGTGTATGTGTGTGTATGTGTGTATGTATAAATGTATATCGTAGCATATATATATATATATATATGTATATATCAAAATATCGTGCGAGGAGAAGCCAGGTTTCGAGGACCTGCTCCGCAAGCAAGCTGTGCGCAGGAGTGTTCGGCGTACTGAAAGTCATGAGCAGGATGCCTTGTGCCTTGTGCGTTGTGCAACATTGAAATGCATCTATTTCGCAGGACGCAAGAGAAGCTTGAAGTGCGAGAGCACAAAACAGTGGAGAGGTCTGCCCCGCCGCCCAGTGCCAAAGTAGCACCGACAGCACCGAAGCTTGGCCTGAGGCCCGCCCCAGTTTCTGCGTACAGTGGACGTAAAAGTAGCTTCGCGCTCCGAATGTGTTATCCGAGGAGAGGGCAGATGCTTTCCACAGAGGGGGAGGGCGGTGCCCAGAATCCCAGCCATCCGGTGGTTGCTGAAGGCTCGACCATAGTGACTTGAATATGTCTTGAAAGCCTTGAACACTTTAATGCTCTACAGCGTGGCCGCACAAGCATACATTCTCCCAGCAGGGAAGGCGTGCTGGGGATTCCGATCAGCTTAGTGAAGTCATGTCAAAGCTGCCAGGCGTGAGCCGTGTGAACAATGCCAACTGCACTGTCACAACCGAAACGGGCGCAGCCCGCAGCCCGGTCACTGGTAATGTCGGTAGTATTTCGGCACATTGGCCTCTTATGAGTGCGGAGCTCAAGATCCCGATTCTCTCCCCCAACATGGATTTCCACCTATGTGCCGGGCCTCCCCGCACCTCCCCCTTAGCCCTGGATTACCTCAATCTAAGTCCACGTGTAGGCTAACCCCAAAGCTCTAATCAGAAACCCAAATTCCCAAAATGGCATGCCCCGACCCCGCCCACCCCTGCTTAAACCCCAAAAGCCTTGCCCCTACTGCCTTGATCCCGCCAGGACCCCTAACACTGAACCTAAACACGTTGTTCCATCTGAAACCCTAAGCCCATGGGAGCTCTTTGAGACAGCTCCGAGGACGGCTTTGACTTTGTCACAGTGGTGGTTCACCTGCCGGGCCTCAGCTCAGCGGCCGAGGCATCCCTGGAGGTTCGACCCGAGGGAAGAACAATACGGTGGGGCTTAATTCGGGTTTGTAGGTGTCTATAGGGCCTGCTGGACTTCGAGTGGCTTCATCCTTCTTTGGCTTGCATATGAAGTAAATGGCACAGCACAGACAGCATACTCTTTGGGGACTGACACAACGTCGGCTGGGGTGCCTTGCTAAATATTTATGCGCTGTGTCGCAGGGGTTGGGTGACAACGTTGTATGCCAAAGGTTGTCAAGGTGTGTTAAATTCTGCGTCTGGCGGCATGCCTTGCAGGTCTCGGAGACTGAGCTGAAGGTCACCAGCCTGAGGCAGGAATGGACATGTACTGTATGTGGTTGTGTGCAAATGGACACATAGCGTCGAGACCAGCAGTTCTTGCACAACCAGCGCAGGCCAGATGCACCTCACAATGTCCATACCACGCTCCCGGTGAAAGTGGAGACCTCGAGCAGTACGGCCAAGTGGTCACGGCGCATGCAACAGCTGACGATCAGGCTTAGGGCGGTGCAAAAAGCAGAACGCAGCTAACACTAAACAGGTGGTGGCCGCGGATTGTTTCAGCAGGTAGCTCAATGCCACCTCTTGTACATACCACTCGTGCAGTCTCACCCAGTGGCCCGGTGGAACCACAAAAATCGAGCGTGTTTCACCGGACATCTGTGCTGGAGGATGTGCTTGTGCCAGCCCGCAGGTGAGATGCACCTGCCGGTTTTCCAGCAATCCACCACCTAGCCAACCTTACCCTGAGGCCTGGCCGGCGCTGGCTTGAAGTCAGAGATGTGTGAAGAGATGAGTGTAGAGATCATCATCAGTGACATCCACCATCCAAATCTCACCGATGTCTTCGTCAGTTCCACATCTACAGGTTGCTGCGGACCGCGTCCGTGCAGTTGGTGGTTTTCGAATGGAGGACCGCCAATGACCGCCTACTGTGGCAACTTCGCCCTAACAATTCCTCCTGTGGCTCCTACAAGACTTAAGAGGTCAGTGTCCGTGCTTCTGTGTTTCCCCTATGAGGCACACGCCCTTGCCAGGAAGTTGTGGCTCACGACGAGTTTCGCTGGGTTGGCCGGGTGATCGACGCCCTTTTCCGGGTGGAGGCCCAGTCTGAAAGTCCGAAAGAACTCATCTGAAACCATAGAGACGTCTCTCTCTCTCTCTCGTCGTTCTCCGTTGCTTTGATTGTCAAAAATTCGGAGCTGGGGAAAGAGGTCGAGATCGTGAAGCGCTGCGAGGGCCGCAGAGGCAGTGGGGGTGGGGGGGGCTGGCCTCTGATTTTTCCCCGCGCGTTTTGAGAGAGAGAGAGAGATTTTTGTTAATATGAGAGAGAGAGAGAGAGAGAGAGAGAGAGAGAGAGAGAGAGAGAGAGAAAGAGAGAAGGAGGGAGAACGCACGTGCTCGTTCGATTCTCAGGCAAGTCCAAGCTGCTTGGGAAATGTGCCTTCCAGGTGTGGAGTGCCCCTATGAGGTTGCTGCGGGGATGCAGTGGGGAAAAATGGTGCTCTGCAGATTCTGACAGGTCAGCAGCGAGGGCTTGTCTGGCCTCACGCCGCTGGACGATGGCGCCGCAGACCAAGCGTGTGCGCAGGACTCCTTTGATTTTGAAGTCGAAAGAGCATTGGAACATAGTGGATCATGTTCATGTTCTCATATTGTCAAACGCTGAGATAGGAACCTTTTCTCGATTACGTTCCAACGCGCGTGACCGCAGCCCGGCAGGAGCTTTGCCCCCATTTCCCTGGCCAGCAGGCAAGGACAAGCTTCCGATAGACTTCCGTCCCAATATCGGCCAAGCGGGCGCGCCAAGAATGAGTTTGATTATGTGGATCCGCGCGCAAAACAGGGGAGCTGTGGCCTGACGTTACTAGGAGTCCTGGCAGGTGCGTGCGACACCGAGAGTCTGGCGGCAGGCCGCCCGAAGTTTGCAAATTTGTCGTCCAGAGCTATAGGCTTTTGCACTGGATGAAGGCTGCTTCGCCAGGGAAGGTGAGCGGGTTTGTGGTTTCCTGATGCTTCGCACGTCTTAAGTCTTCTTGGGATCTCTCTCGTGCCTGTAAACTCGCGGGCTCAAGCTCGGGTTGGCAGCGCTGCCAGCCTGCGCCGTGGCCTCGCGTCCGGTGCCTGGAACGTCTCGCAGACATCATCCTGCCTTGTGGGGTCGTACGTATAAGATTACGTAATGACATGTAATGACAACACGAGGGGCTTCTTTTTTGACTGCTGAGACCAAGGCTTCCCTTGCGGGCCGGGCGAGGCTCCAGGTCGGAGCGATGTTCTGGGATCCATCTTGAGATTTGAGTTGTCTACGGAGTCTACGGAGTCTACGGCGACATGTAACAATGCACAGAGCACCGCGTATGAAGCTTCTATGCATGAGCCGGGGCGAAAGGTAAGTCCATCGAGCCCATTCCACCTGAGAGCGTACCACGCAAGATGTATTCTCCGGAGGCCAGACGGCCAGACTACTTGGCACGACTTTCTAATTGCTTGCCAAGAATGTTGATGGTCGAACACCCCCTATCTAGTTTGCGTGCAGGTTTCGTCGAGAACGCTTTTCTGCTGCATCCCAGTTCGTCTTACGGTGCTGGTCCGGACTTGAGGGGCCGGGGGGAAGTGCCAGTAGCTGGCCCAACAAGAAGAGTCCACTGTTCTGGCTGAATGCTGAGATCTCGGCCGTGATCGTCACGCTAACGTCCGTCCTGTACACTGTGGATTACAGGAGAGCCCAGTGTGAAGCCATGCCTATGTCAACCCCAAATCTGGCCCCTCAATATCCCTGCGCAGACTCTTCAACCAACTCTTCCGAAACTTTGTTGGCGGCTTTGTCCAGCCGGCATGTCTTTTGTCAGCCTTTTGTCTCGCGGCGTTTTATTCCACGTTCCCATCGGTCCATGCATAAGTTTTCCCCTTTCCCACTCGTGCAGGGTGTTGGAGGCAACATCGCTACGTGCTTGGGAGAGGTGCTTTGCGGCCGCAAACACTTGCCCCCTCATCCCCTGCAACCCACAACGACATTACTGCTTCGATTTCCGATATCCTTCGCTCATGCGCCTCCTTTCGTTGCAGTACAGCGGCCTCCTCTTTGGCACCCTTGGTGTCATGGGCACCTGGTCCGGGAGGAGAGACTGGGCCCTTACCTCACATGTGTAGAGAAGAGCCTCACAAAGCCCAGATGAGCTGTTGTCCTGAGGTCAAGTCATACAATGCTTGGCTGTGGTTTAGACTGCTTTGCTACGGTGTCATGCAGCTGCCCCAGCTCAAAGCGTGATGAGCATTTGGAGCATCGATCAACGACTGTTGCCCAGGTATGTTTTCGACTTTCCGTTGATCACTCACTGTGAAGATTTTGCTGCCCGGCTGAACGTGCGAGAGTGAATGGGTGATGATGTGTCCAAGCCATTTCAAGATCAATAATATAAGGCTTGACCACTCATTTGTCGTCCTCGATACTCAAACTGAGGTCAACAGCCTGCAGATGACCACCGAGAAGTATGGAATGGCGCTTACGAGTCTTACAAGTCTTACGAGTGCTTTCCTGCAAACCCCTGCTTTTGCACCTAGGCTAGAATCCGGACGTTGCATATCGTTCCTAGGCTACAATCCGCTGATGTACAACATCGCCATGAACAGCCAGATCCGACCTCAACATCTGTGCTTCAAGAGTTGCACTCAACTCCATAGAAAAAGTCCCGTTTGCTTGGTCCCTTTTGTTTTGCCCTTTTGCTCAGGTGTTCGGGCACTCGAACAAGCTTCTTAGTGCTCTCGGTCTTGATGGTTTGCCTCATCATGTGCGCCGAGTGTTGCTGGTCCTTGGCCTTGCTTTTCAGTCCTTTGAGCCACCGCCGCTCCACCAGGCTACTCTCCGCATGTCCACGCCATTTTCTGCTGCAGCCATTTAGAATCTAAGTGTAAGCTTGCTATGCTATCTCGATCAACGATGACAAGCATCCAACAGCACTGCAACAGCACTGCATTCTGTTGTCCTGCATCGCAAACACGCAGGCGTATCCGAGGAAATCCTGGTTAGCAACTGGCAAGAGTTTTGCGTTTCGAGCGCATTGTCAATCGTCCCCGAATACCCAGGTCGTTTCATGAGCAATAACTCAGCAATGCATTGACACGAACGAGAACGAAGCACAGGAGTGACTCTTAAGCCCCATACGAAGAAAAACGTCAATGGCGGAGCGCCTTCTTGCGCCCCCCAGCCATGGTATTCCGAAGCAGGTGGAGGCATTCGTTGTGCCCTTGTTTAGGGCTGATTTAGGAGACTCCCTAGCACGGGATTGCCCATAGGTGAAGGAATGTTCCAAGACGAGTGTGGCATCGTGCCGGGCAGGTATCGCTGGAGGAGCCGAATAGAGGCTTCACTGCTGTGACAACTGCCAACCCTTTGCTGCTGAAGGCTTGGCCGTGGAATCTGACATGAGATGTAAATCTCGTATCAGTACAAACACAGCATGAACACAAACATCAAATAACACAATACAACAGTTGCAGAAACAAAGAGACATGCGGCTTGCACCTTGAAAGCGCTCGGAAGGCATCGATGTGCAGTACTTGCATCATTGGCCTCTGGGCGGCCATCAAGCTCATGGATCCCTGGCCTACCAGAACAGTTGTCGGCGGCTCCCTGCGTAGAGCCTTCGGCGTTTCTGTGCTTGTCTAATGTGTCTGCAAGAGCACTTAGAGTCTGTGACAACGACTTGAGGAGCAGTTCGGGGACACACTCAAGCCCCTCGTCCTAGCTGCCATGCTGGCTGGCTGCCTGGAAAAGGCAGTGGAGCTCTGCGCTGCGCTCAGGGTGCCCAGCCTTCCTCTAAATCTCCATAGTTTTGTAGTTTTGAGACGGTGTGCAACTGATTGCTCCGCCAGGTGAGTTCACTCTCAACAGGCCAGGCCGAGTGATGTCGTCCCTTCATGGCCGTCTGGAATCAAAAAGAATCCTACAAGCCGTGCGGCTTGCTTGCGCATTCTTGTTCCTAGAGGCTTGTCAGCCTGGTATGGTGCTGCCTTCAGTGCCGCTGCAACTGGCGTCCGTTCTTGAAGATGCGCCGATGGTGCCCTGATGTAATGCACGCTGCGTGTTTTTTTCGCGCTCCACTGTGGTGAACTGTCATGAACATGTAGCCATGGCAGCCACAACAGACCTGCAGCCTCTGAAAATGGGCCTCACCGTCAGACCGATTTTCGAGAGTCCAGAATGACGACGCATGACGGTGCAATGACGAGAATCGTGAGAGGTTCCAGCCTGACGTGCTTCGACAAACGACGCCGGGTGGACAAGATGTCTACGTGACCCTGGCGGCCTTGCAGGAGGAGGAGAGCTGCATCCCTGAGGCCCCAGCAGCCGAAACATACTGTAACATACTGAAATCCAGCAGCATTCCGCAACACATCCACTACTTTGCCACAGCACTCTGCTTCGGAGGATGTCCTGCCACCCTGGACTGGTGAACTTGCCGGAGCAAGCTTCATCGCCCGGCTGCCTTTTGCCTGCAGAAGAATCGACCGAAGGGCAACTCGTCAAGTTCCGAACACGCCTCGAGGATCTCTATCGCCGCGGTTCTGGTGTTGGTGGGCATGTTCCTCTTGGAGCTGTCTGCAGCCTTGATTTCCAATGTGAACGCGCTGGATATCAAAGTCTACAAGCAGGGCTTTCGAGATCTAGAAGCGCACGCCGCTTGACTTTGCATGTCACTTATTTGGGATGTTTAGGATCACGATGGATCAAGCATGATGGAAGCCGAACGGAAGCCAACGTGCCCAGATTTGCCTACATTTGCCCAGACAAGGTATTGCACGTGTTCGATTCTGCCAGTCCAGCCATGAAGGCCGGGCAGTGTGCAGGCGGTCGACCCGTTTCAGGGGCTGCCACATGCACTATGTGTGAGGACAACATGTCACGGCAGCTGGACTCGTTGCAGCAGCACCTCTCATCAATTGCCATTACGGAGCTGAACAGGGTCCTTGCTGGAACAACGCCTCTCGATCGAAGCAACGACTGTCATAACTGTCAAAGAAAACGAGGAAGGGTTCTTTAGCTTTACCCTTATGAGGCCGTCTGTGGCTGGCACATGCTGGCACCGTGCGACTTGCTCAGGAACTTCTTCGTGCAAATTGTCATGTTCATGCTCTATGCATTCATGTGGCTCCTATCGCCAGTGCGCAGCGGCGAGCAAGTCTTTCAAATTGTGCGGACCTATTTCATGTCCAGCACCGAGAAAACACACTGCCCAGCCAATGAGACCTGAAGCTGTTGCTTTTGGTGTCATCGCGGAGTTGGATGCCGTCTGAGGTACAAAGCCTTCTGCAATGCGTTGTTTGCGTTGTGTGTTTGGGCCCTGCTGACGTGTATCCGCCCCTCAGACACACTCAGACACACTGAGACACACTGAGACACAAGCATGACCTCAGTCCGGCTTGGCGTTGAAGACCATGGGCAGAGACGAGATCTGAGGATGTGACCTTGTCATCATGGTCAGCATCCTGTGCTTCTTCCTTGGCCGCCCGGGCTTTGTACTTCTCCCCAGCTCTCTCTCTCTCTCTCTCTCTCTCTCTCTCTCTCTCTCTCTGCGCACTTGTGGCGAACCCTCCCCCCAAAACCCTAAGAAGGGCCCTAATTAAGAAGGGCCCCAAAAAGGGCCCTAAAAAGGCCCCATTCAACTCATCTGAGGCTTCATCCCAGAGGTTGGTTCCTTCATTTCCCTGGTGATCCCGGTGCCGCTCCTCCTGCTGGACTCCCGAAGAAGCCCAGAGATGCGGGCGACCGATGTCATCACAGCGGCCCCTCGTTTTTTTTTTTAAGGCTTTTGTTCGCTCCAGTTTTCTGCTCCAAGGTTTCCCCATGTTAAAATAGCTCTTTTGAATTAAATTTGTTCGTTTTTCATTCCTGTCCTTACTTTTGATTCTTGTCTCTTCCCATCATCGCGATTGCAGGGGGAAAAGTGACATAAGAAAGGTCGCCGGCATGTTGGTCATCAAGTTTGTGGTGTCCAATGGCATAGAGTCGTTTGTCATGGCCCGGAGCCCGGTCTTGGCGGGCCAAGTGGATGAGCAGTCCAAAGCAGACGAGACCCATCCAGCGTCTTAGCTGCGTTAGCTGCCTTAACTGTAACTGGCTTGACATCTTGAAATTCTAAGTGTGGAAGTGCCGATATCTGTACCGAACACTCCGGATGCTCCCTGCGCAGGTTCTCATCCTTTTTGTTGTTGTGCTCTGCGGAAACATCTGGGGAGTCACAGGCAGCGCATGTGATGGCTTGTGAAGATGCTCTCCCGGGTTTCAAACCCCTTCACCTGAAAAAACTGAGAAAGAGGCATGCTGATTTCAGTGCCGATGCTCTCCCTGGCGCGGTTTGTGCTAAACCTCGAAGCCACGAAAGAGGCCGTGCGAAGCCTGCCTGAATCGATGAGGGCTCGTGTGTGCTTTCCTGGTGCACGTTGCAGACCAGAGTGTCCCATGATCTCCTGAACTTAGGAGCCGTGCAAATTTCTCCACGATGCCTGGCCGCAGCCGCTGTTCAATTAGTGCCTTTCTCTGTGCTTCTGCAGTTCGTGGCAAGGAAGACCGCCAACCTACATCAGTGAGATGGCAACCAGCGCGCGCAATAGCAAGACATTTTCGAGGGACATTTCGCGGGAAACCTCCATTGCGTGAGCTCCCAAGAGTTGACTGATACGCTCATGGTACTTATGCTGGGCCCTTCCTGGCTTGTTTCCCCAGATGGGTTTCCCGTTTCCCTGTCTGGGCAGTCCTTAGAGTTTTCACAGATTCCTGAGACAAGGATGGTAACACCCATTCTGCTCGTGTCTCGGAATTAAACCTATATGTAGACCAAGGTTGGTGCGATCGATGGGTTGAAAAGACGGAATACCACAGCACCAGACTCACGTGACGTGCCTGTAAATAAACGCGCAAAGGGATACACCCATGTTCCTGGTACCATGTAGACAATTCATACTGACGATGCATGATTGTCGTGTCAATGCCTGCCAATTTCAATGCACTGGTGTCTGAGAGGTACCTTGCACGGGCCCCGAGAGCTGAGATCAGTACACGTCCTCTCACTGTTCACTGTTACTAGACTGAATGCTGAGTGGCTGGTGCCAAGATTTGGGGGACGACGGACTACATAGAGTTCACTGGCCGATAGCTTGGCTTTTACAATTTTACAGTTACATTTCATCTAGTGGGCGCTCAACTGACTGTTCTGTCGGACAGGCCGCCTTCCCAAGCACCTTCTACGAATGCCGAAAGATCTGACATCCGGAGCGTTTTATTCGCACAGCAGGGTGCTTATACCGAGTCACCGCCCTTGGCAATGATTGCACCCATTTTTGTCGCAGCGGTTTCTTCACTGACCTGCACAGGTCTGGGCGAGAGGAGTGTGCTTAACGGCATGTGGGGGAAGTATGACCACCACCGCTTCTTGGTCCAAGCAGGAATAAAGGCCCTAACGGGGCCCTAACGCCCAAGATCCCCACAGCAAAGGCCCTGCACCCGCAGCAAAGAAGGCGCTCGCAAGCGACAAAACAGCGAACTCTGTGTCGCACGCCCCTGAGAGAAGGCAAAGACTTGCTGGTTCATGTCACAAAGGTGTCTCCGAGTTCCCCTTGTCGGGAGATCCTGTAGGAGTCGAGATCTGAGCACTTTGGTCTTGTGGTTAGCCGGTAGCCGCATTGGCCGCCACGTGAGGTCTGACATGGTCTGAAGCGTTTCACAACTTGGGCTCCTCGACCCTTGGACCCTGTGCGAGTGTGGCAAGGAGAAAAGCCACCAAAAGCGGTCCTCGTTAGACCTTGCATAGGTAGTTCATCACATTGTTGTCTGCTTGCAAGAGGTTGATTAGCAGCGTGCTGCAGGCAGAGTGGCTGGAAGACTGCTCGCAGCTGTCGCGGAAGCGGGCGCGTGGCCCACCAATCTGCGGCAAGGTCACTTCAGTCTCGCCCCAGCCTCGGAAGGTTTGAGGCGGTTCTACCGAATACTGATGTGGTGCTTGGTCTCGCTTTCACGTCATTTCACATGCGTACAGTGAGGTGTGAAATGGTGGGCGTTCACTGGGTCGATGCATGGTCTTCAAAGGCGCTCACTGCAGCGCTGAATATCAAAGATCCGACTGAGACTGTAAAATGGATAGACTTGGCCGCACCAGGCACAGAACGCAACCTGCTGTGAACGTGCTGTGGATAATATGTGCTCAGACCGACTTCACAAACCCAGGTGTCGATGCCGCCTGAGTGGGTGTGAGCCCTTGGATGCTTGCTGTCCACACATGTCCACACCCGCAGCTGAGCTGGAAAGCACAACCCTACAACCCTGGCTTGAATCAGGTCCACCCTTCCACCGTCCGCCGACTTAGCATGAACAACAGCCCTTCAGAGGGTTGGCTCTTGGGGGAGCATTGCCAGGCACATCGGCACACGCCCATCTTCCATTTTGTTCCTGTTACTGTTCACGCACCGATCATTACCGATCACACCTCGGCACAGGCGTGGGACGATCCGTCTGCGCCATGTGCCGTGCTGACGCGGTCTGGACCTCAGGACTCAGCATGGCCCCAGGTGGTCAGAGAACGCCAGAGATTTGGCTTCGAGCCCCATCGCCACTTCGTGGGTGCCCGGCACTTTGGTGCCAGATGCACCAGCTCAGGACCACAACGCACACGACAGTGCAATGGGCGGGTGATGTCGAGGACTCTTACAACGTCTACCAAAAAGCGTACAAAAAGCGACCGGCCGCTCTTTTTGTCAGTTGCCTTCCGTGTGGACCAATCCTGCGCTTGAAGGAAGAGATTCTCGCAATTGACCTCATGCCCAGGCACGGGGCAAGACGTTCTCAGCATCGGTTTTTGGTTGTCTGCTTGAACGAGTTCAATGTGCGCCGGCATGGTAAGCTGCATTGCGCTCACAGGCAGGCGTTCTATTCGCACGATTTCCTCCCGCACGACTATGTAGCAAGGTGGCCTCCTCTTGTGGAATGCTGTGAAGACATGCGTCAAGTTGCAGGACTGCAGACGTTGATCGTTATGATCCCCGGCGTGTCGCCAGCTTAGCATGGACCCACCAGAAGCCATCGCTGCTTGCCAGTGCCAAGCGTGCAAATAGAAGAGGGGACCAGAAGCCATCGGTTGTGAAAGGCGGTCGAGACCTTGCAGAGTCCCAACCCCAATGTGAATATGCAGGCTTGAACTCTCAAGCATGCTGCGTGTATAGGAGTCGCCACTGGCCACAGTCAAGCGCGTTACCGAGCACCGAAGTTGCAGCGGGCACCTGTTGTTCCTGTCTTTGGCAGGATGGGTCTGTTCAATATGGATCGGCCCAGACCGAGCTGAATGAGGCTTCGGAAGAAGTCGTAAGTCAGCTAAGGCTACGTGTAGCATCGTGCAGTTTTGTCTGCCACTTGCAGGATGACCGAAACAGAGCTGTGCTGAGACTCCTGTGACCTCATGTGGGAGTTGCGGCGCGTGCTCTGCAGTGACTTTGCACTGTCTCCGCGATGTATCAAGGAGAGCTGTTCGCCACCTTCTTGGGACAGGCTCGGGCATCAATGTGTTGTTGACGGTGCTGACGTTCCTCTTATAGCTCGTGCTGCCTTGCTTATGTAAGTTTGTGAGTTTACCAGATGAACTTTCAGGTCCTGATGCTCCTGAGTTGTGTATGCCTGTATCTATGCCTATGTCTAGGCGACAAACATGTGAAGTCGCTGAAGAAGCTTTCGCTTTGCAGATGGCAGCATGCGAAGGGGCGGAAGGGAGTCCTTTTGAACATGGTTTGGGTTAGCTTGGGAGCCATGTGCATCAGAAGGGCTGGTGGGGGTTGGAGGCAGCGCGAGTTGAGGTCTCGCCGGGCCAAACGGTTCAAACAGATGCCTGGGAATTGCCTTTACGACTAAAAAGGAAGCGACCTGAACGACAAACACCAACAGCGGAAAGTCGGGAGGTTCTCACACAGTAGGAAAGCCTTGCTTTAAGCTGCCACGACGTGCCAATCGTGCCTTCCAGGTGAACAACGAGGACCAGTCGGTACGCATGGAGTGTCTATACTACTTCTTGCAGCTCATGGTTCATTCCTTTAGGTGTGCAGCCGCTCCTTTGCCCATCCTTTGAAGGACATCATCCCCGCCGTGCGACCCCCGGCAGCGGCCAGCCGGGCATGGACAATTGAGACGCTTTCAGGGCTTGAGGGGGCACCATGGTACTCATATTCGTACCATGCATTGCCATACATCTCCATGGACAGCCAGCTCAGAGAGCTGAACGTCCCATAGCTGAACTCCGAGCTGCCTTCAGTTCTCTCATTGGAGCCATGCTTCTGTTAAGATCGAGCTGCGCAGGGCCAGGTGGTCCCGATGGGCGTGGTGAAGAGTGTGGACCTCAAGGCCATCTTCCCCCCCGCACCATTTCCGAAGAGCACGCTGAACACGGAGCTTCGTGAAAAGGCTTCCGCTAAAGCGGGATCCCAGCAAGTTGTGATGTTCCAGGCACGCACGGCTTTGGTGGAATGGCGGTGCACTCTCCAGGACAACCCTCAGGAGGCAAGTTCCTCGATCTCTCGGCTTTCTCATGTCACAAAAAACAATCTTCGTTCAAGTTTTGATGCTGCCCCGCACACTGTCTGCCTTTGCCTGTGTTTTGCTTGCTTTCTGAGATGGATGAGTCTCAGGTCAGCTTATTCGAGCTGGCGCCACACCCGCTGGTTGATGTCCGCCTGGCGGACGTGGTCTTCATCCCGCCTGATCAGCAGTCTCAGGCCTGTAGTGTTCCTTTGGTTGAGACTTTAACAGTCACAAAGTAGGCCAGCTGAGAGGGGTCAAGCCATGTCAAGGCTAACTCCTTCGTGACTCGCTGTTCAGGACTCTGGAGCTTGGGTCGGCCGGGTGACGGCCTTTTCTGGCTTCTCCGCTCAGGTACAACTGGCCTGTGGCCCGAGCCTTGACTCCTTAAGATCTCGACAGCCTTGTTTGGCACATGCTGGCACATGTCTTGAAGCCTTGGACATTGTCTCCCTTTCGGCTTCTGTCAGCTGCTTCCCCGTGCAGCGTGTCACGATGTCGCGTTGTCCGGGGCGAGCTGTGACTCAGGCCTCAGTGAATGGTTCGATGTCGAAGCTCTGCCGGGAGCTCATTGCGTATCCGTTTGTTCAGTTCAGTCCGCGAAGAAGCAGATGTCAAGGCGCATAGCCGACATGGACGGACACTACGACCCGGCCTCAGTCCTCGGTGGAGCTCCGGCACAGGGCCGTCTCCCGGTACCCTGCACTTCCCTGTTTGTCTGCATTTCCGTCAAGCTGTCAGGAAAGCTCCGAGTCTTCTGACGAGGTGCCTCGTGCTAGGGAAGGGCCAGGGAAGGGCCAGGGATCAACTCCAAGCCCTCGCTTGTTGTTTTCTTGAAGTTTCATTTTTAAGTGTCACGGCTTGCAGGAGCCGGGCACCGCCTCTTTTGAGGAGGAACCCGCAACCCGCCTCTGAGATTGCAGACTTCCTTTCCCAGCGACACCAGTCCTGAGGAGCTGCACGACCCGTCCATGGGAGGCAGTCGAGATGCAAGCGCCGGGCTGAGCGGCCCGGCTTCCGTTGAAATTCGCTGTGTCCCTGTGTCTTGGATTTGTCGTTGCTCTCTTCAGGCCCGAGGCGGGTGGATGCCGAGAGCGAAGAGGCCCCACTAGATGTGAAGCAGGGAAGGCATGGGAAGGCTTCATCGTCGTGTTGAAGATTGTCGACCCAAGTGCCATCTTGCAGTGTAAGCCAGGGCAAGGTGAGGGAGCATGTTCTGAAGCAGTCTGTCGTTGGCGCAATTTTTTCGAGGAGTTTGAGCACTGCGAGCAGCCCCAAAGCGAGACCTCGGAAGGCCTCATGCAGTTCAGCATATGCACGGCAGCCATGTACAGTCCCTTCGGGTCCCTTCCGTGGAGCTTGTTCAAAAGCTACGAATGTCAAGGCTCCTCCTCATCTACTCGAGCGCCTGAGATCCTGGCCTTCGATGTTCTGGAGGCGTTCATGCGGCATGATGCCTTGGCGTGCGCAGAGCGGTTCTCAATACGGACCTGTTCAGCTGGAAGCCCCGTGAAATCAAAAATTAAGGATACTGGAGGGAAACATGGCAACAGCCATCAGCCAAAGATCATAGAGTAGCAGTGGATGGAGATTCGATGCATGTGGCGTGGATGACTGGCAAGCGACACTTCTGATTAGAACTACAGTGTACATGAGTGAAACTACGGCACGGACACTCCACCGCGTTGCTGATAATCTAGCAGTAGTGTTGCTGCAAATGCATTGAATTGCCTGCCGAAGAGGACGTGAGCCCTTGTGACGGGACCTCAGATGTATCCTTGAGGTCTCCTGCATGTCTGAGCTCCTCCAAAATCACTCTGAACACTTTGTCAGCGGCAGCGTGCTTCAGTCTTGCTGCCACTTGCTCAGGACCATAAGTTCGTCGACCGACCATCTCCGCCTCCAAAGGCTCTGTGTTGTGTGTGTGCGTGTGTTTTCCTTGGCATCTGCATGTGTCAGTGTGACCCAACCGAATGTGCAGAACTTTCAGTTTAGTGCTTACACATCATTCTGCATGTTCTCGGCGCCTCGGCTGCTTGGAGTGGATTTTCTTACACGCGGCAGTGAAGAAGCACAGTACAGTGTGCTTTGGTCACATTGCACCTCGCAGCTTTGACCATGATGTAAGAGAATGCTTGCACGACAAGAAAGAAGTAGTCAATCCCAAATATCTCAGTCGCGCGATCCTCACATCGTGGGCTTCGGCGACATGAATCTTAAGCTCTCTACTGCCACATGCAGTGCTTACATCTCCAAACTGCAGAACAGTTGTTGTGATGGAGTGTGAGAGATTGTGATAAAGTGTGTGCGCATGGTGTTTCATGTGCCCGTGCTCTGCGCTTGAGAAGGTGCTGATGCGAGCTGTGAGGCTCGATTGCTTCGGAGTGTGCACATACGTTTTTTTTCGCAATCTGCGTGGCGCACAGTTTTTTTTTCGGTGCGAGTCGGCCTCTTTTGCTTCTTCAGAGGCGGGAGCACTCCGTCTTGCAGAAGGGCTTGCTCGACGGGGGCGAAGGCGCATGGATCAGAAGAGATGCTCTTTCTTCTCTGCTTCTTCGCCTGCTTCCTTCTGCAAAAGTCGTGTGGAAAAGGCGTGTGAGTCCAATGGGGCTCTTGCTCCCACCAGGCGTGGTGGCACCTATTGCGGTTCGCACATATGCGTCCCGAAGCGACTTGTTTCGAGCGATGGCGCGTGCCTCAGTAGTGGCAACCTGTCAGTCAACGACTGGGCCAATTGTCACCACATCCGCAAGAAGGCAGGCATGGCAGCAGGCCGTGTGTTTAAAGACCTACAAACTACAATCAGTGCACCACCAGAGACCTTCAGAGGTGCGCTCTTCGTCAGCAAAGAATGATGGCAAGCTAGCCGTGGCATAACCACCACAATGGCCCTGCAAATATCTGCTGGCTCATGTAACAGTTGAAGCTAGAGTACACGAGAGTGCCGGCACGTACCGGTGTTGCTTGGATTTGCTTGGGATCTGAGGTGGTCGGCCCTCCTGGGACACCCTACTCGGACGTGCCATTCTTCTTCGACATGTCCCTGTCGCCCCAGTGCGCAATTCATGATCAACTCAGAAAGCACAGGCAAAGCTTCCGGTTCAGGAACAACTTTTGATGGAGAAGGGTCAGGTCTTGAAGGCTGGATGCACTGCAGGGCCAGAACAGTGTTTCCTTGGTTGAGGTACCCCTCAGAGCCTCCTCTGGTGCACTTCATGGCAGCCTACGCCCAAATCCTCAGTTTGCCATACCGCCCCGAACGACCTTGAACTGAGTGCCGTGGAAGTGGAATGTGTTGTGTGCATGGCAAGCTATGCGGGCTGAGCTGGAAGAAGCTTCTTGCTTGTATTCTGCCTTGAGTACGCCCACTCCTGAAACTGCAGGTCAGCAGTTGTGAGAAGCTGAACCCCAATCTCTACAACGATGGCAAGGCTTCTTTTGGTACCATGCTTCTTTAGGTGTGGGGGGTTTTGGTACACGTTGCAAGACACCTGCAGTCTTGTCCAGGTTTGCCTCAGCATCCTGGGTACTTGGGCGGGGCCTGGATGGGATCCGCAGAAGTCTACCCTTCTCCAGGCCGGGGGGGGGGGGCAGAAACTATGTGGCTCTGTCCAATGCAAACGATGGTGTTGAGTTTGCATGAGCTTGCCGCCTGCCATTGGGGCATTTGCGGTGGAGGAAGGAGCGGTTCTTCCTGAGCGGTTCATGAGCACAAGCAGGGCGTGACTTAACTGTTGACCAGAGCTGGCAGGGGAGTGAAGCACATGACCGCAATCACAAGAGGGTGTCCACATTCATTGGGCAAGATCTTGCGCATAGACAGCCTCGCATAGACGGTCTTGCAGATGCCTGCGCTGATGCAGTACAACATCGGTTGGATTGGAAATCGTTCGGTGAAGTACGTCGCAAACACATGCGGTCCTTCGAAAGTCTCAAAAGACAATATAGGCGTTTTCCCAGTCGGTCACACGACTCTTGCCGACCCGTGTGCAGCAGTCTCGAACTGGAATGCGCGTCCTTTACATTCGGAGCACGTTCGGATCGCTGATAGTTCGCTAGACTGCGGTTTATGTCGGCGTGTCACCAAGCAGCAAACATAAGCAGCGAAGCTACTCGCCCGTTGATCCTTGCACTTTTGGCACGCCAGGTGCTGATTTCACTTCAAGGCTTAGTGCTGGTAGAGGCACCGAGGGTGGAGAAGCAGGGCTATCGGGTTGCCTCAGTGCAACGCTGCAGATGTCAAGCCTGAGGATCCGTACTTCAATGAACCAGGCCATGAATGCCTGGGGCTTGGCGAGCTTGGCCATGAAAGGCAATGGAATCTCCGTGCCCTCATGAAGACTCAGCTGAAATCAGGGGAATGCAACAGTGAGCATGGCCGGAACGCCTCGGCCCTGTGCGCAGCAGAGCAGGGAAGCTGTCGAAAATGAAAGGTTGACAACAAGGTCCGGCCCGGCATGAAAGTTGATGATGGATGATGTTCAGGTACAACGAGAATGTCCGCTTGCTTGTCCTGCGTGCGGCCTTGAATGTCTCCAAGCACCCGCCCTCCGGCTTCGAGGAGGCAGCGACGTGTGACGCAAGGTGTAAGTGCAAAGGCGTGCAAATCTTAGATCGCGGTGCCATGGACCGTGACATACCGTGACCGTGGTCAGATGGTGGCCTCACACTTTGCTCGCCATGGGCCGCGGCTGCTTGCGGAGTGCGAAGAGGCGGCACTGGTTGAAGTACTCCGTGCACGCTTTCTCTCCATGTCATGTCGGTTTGTCGTAGGTGCTCAACACTCATTGAGCTTCTCTGCTTTGAGATTCTATTGCTCGACGATGCAGGCGTTGCTCGACGTCAATGCCAGCCGCACCAGTGAAGGATTTCGAAAGGTCGACGGCCTAGGCTTGGATTGCTTCGATTTTGGCGAGGCAACCAAACCGGAAATCGTAGGTGTGAAGGCGCTGTTAGGCTTCAGCGCTTTGAGAGGCTTTGTGCAATCATTCCCGTTTAGAGATTCTGTTGTAACATGCAGGCTGCAGGCTTGTGAAACAAGAAAGTGGTCAGGTGGGTGGAGGGTGGGTGAGGCCGGGGGGGAGGTTGGGGGGTGGGCCCATACACCTTGGCAGATGAACTTGAACGCGAGAAAGGGTCAGGGCGAATTCAGCAAGCAGACGCCGAAATCCGGCAAGACCTCCGCTGCTGGAGGAGAGCCAACCTGGAATCCAATGATCCATTCCGTGCTGACAAATAAATACGCTGGCGGCAGTGCCGCACGTTACCAAGGTCTTGGCCAACGTGGTTATGCCAGGGCTGCGTGAACATTGGGGCAGCGCATCATCGCTACCAGCGTAGCGACATGAAGTGAAGGTGTGTTTGCCATGCCACATCTACATACTCGCAGAGTTGTATCGGCCGTACTTTTGAGATCATTTGTCGTCTGAGAATTGCCTACTCTGGGGAGCATAGCAGAGACAGATGAGTGCACACAGAGTGATGTGATTTGTAGCACTGCGCGGCATGGAGGAACTCCATGCACGCCGTTGAAACTTGCATTCTGCTCGCAGAACTGTACAGGCGTTACCATCTAGCAACTGGAAGCGTCCCTCAGCTTTGGCAGCTAAGATTTCCTAGGGCCACGTAAGATACCCGATACCATCTGTTACTAATGCTTACATTCTTAAGCAGCTGAAAAAGCAGCTGCCGGCAGCAGAGGAACCGATGTTGCTAAATGCAAAGGCTCGAGAAGTGCAACAACAGTGCAGGAAAGATGCAGCTTGTAGCAAGAGATTTGTATTTCCCAGCGGATTCTTTGCTTTCGCACCCTAGATTCCAAGCAACTCCAATCGTTCTTGACACTCCCAAAGCTCAGCATGTTTTCAGAAACCTTAAGAGTTCGAAGCCGCCAGGAGCAGCTGACAGCTTATGTCGGAACCCATCAGGCCCCTCGAGCTGCTCTTCATTTGCACCCAGCAACAGTCATGTTGGGTCTTCTTGGCTGCTAAGATGGAAAGGTGCGATGGAAGGGTGCATTGGGTGTATCCGCAGACTTGTATGTCTGCAGAAGGGTTTGGGGTTCAGGGTTTGGGTGTCCCATGTGTCCCAATATCGCGAGCGAAGCTACTTTCTTGCACCCCAAGCCTCACGCCTCAGTTTGCAGGAGCTCTTTACGCGCTTCCAGACGGCAGTAGAGCAGCTCGACACGGAGAAAGACATACGCAAGGCGCTCTCGGAATGGCACCGGCAATTTATTGATGTTGGTGGGAGTGTGGTTTGTCGCGGCAGAAAGTCGTGTCGGAGCGCGATGACCTCATCAAGACGCGGGACGAAATTGCCAGGGCTCTCGAGCTCGCCCGGGCCTTAGTCACACGATTCTGGCAGTTTGCAGAAGATTCCAGACTGTAATCTGATGCGTTAATTTGGTGAGGGTCACCTTGTGTGTCGAAGGAAAGAGACCGGGCGGAGCAAGAGCGCATACTTGCAGAACAGGCCCGCAAGGCGCGAGGGCATCACAGCCTGATTTGCCATCTTTGCTCAGAGGCCTTTGCACCAATCTTTGCACAACATTTACTCCCAAAGCTGCATTCAGGAGCTTGCTGAAGCAGAGCCGCCTGGGCCCGCACAACTGACAGTGAACGATGCGGGGTGGCCCAGAAGAAGAAGGTGAAGTTTCACTCACGATCGCAGTTCAAAAACAAATCACAAACCCCAATCAACCTCCCAAGCCCAAGCCTGAAATTGTAGCCCATTGCAAGTCTGTCCAGCTGGGTGGAGCCGGGCGGAGTTTGGCATGTCAAAATGCGTAGACGGAGAAGTTGCGCGCCATTGGTTTCACATAGCCAGGGCTCAGCTGTGCAAGCTGCACGACACCTTACTTTGCTACTCACGAATCCCCGGGGGCTTTCGTCCAATACTGGGAACGAAGTGAGCCTGGAAGATCCCCGAAGGCCGTAGGGGCGCGGGGTATGCTGTTCAAGTGGACCCCCTTTCGGTGGCCTTAAGCTGCCGGGCAGCTTCGGAGCCCCAGAGGAGAAAGGAGGACCCAATGATGCTTCAATGATCACCCGAGGAGAGGCCAAGGGCCTAGGCGCCGAAAGGGCAACTACATTTCTGTATTAATAATAGGTGTGTTGCATTGTGTTGCATGCCACCAGCTTGGAGAAAGCTGGCGCCGCAACAACACCTTGTAGTCGAGTCTCTGCAAAGGTCCTTATCTCCGTGTCCTTCGAGGAAGTACCCGATCCTCTCGAGGTGAAGCCGTGGGATACGAACTTCGAGGTGCGAGGGTTGCGGTACTATGATGGTTGCGAAGCTGATGTCTGCAATTTACATCATCGCTTTGGTCCTTGGTGCCCCACCTGTTTCGCAGCCGAATTACCTCGTAATCTTCGGAAGCTTTTCCGCGCCTGCTCCCATTCCAGGAAATTCCAGGAAGTGCCTTGTTGATCTCCACGTCCCCTCAACCTTAGCACTCCTGGCAGAAGCACCTAGTGACAGACCGATCAGACTGCACCCGAAATCGCCCCACAGAGGCAAGCTGCGAAGCCTGCTTGTGACCGCCAGGAGGTGGTGAGCAGCTGGCTTCAGGCGGCTCAGCGCTCACAGAACCTGCAATCGAGCCTCGTGCGGTGCCACCTCCCCCGTGCTCGCAGCCTGCGCTCCAGAGCACAATGGGAGGCACACAGGAAGGCAGGGGTAGATCCAGGTAGGAGGCGTGCTGCATGATAGTCTGCTCCTCACAGCCTGCGCCATCAGCATTCGGCTCAGCTTCAAACTTCAAGCGCACGAGGCACGCCCATCCCGGCTAAAGCCATTTGAGACCTTGTCCAAGTCTGGTTTCATGTTTACCTCCACTGACAGTCCCTTGCAATAGTACATGATGTAGTAGGGAGGGGGATGTTGTCCCAGGTAACGCGCCTTGTTTGCACTACAAGAGATCACTTCACTGCCAACCTGCCGCGCTGACGTGTTATGAGGTTACCAGCTTCGCCAGCTTCAGGGGATGGTCAGAACTCGCCGGCTAGCTGGCAGGATCGCCCCCCCAGCGAGCGGAAACGTTGCACGGAATGACCGGACCACTGGCGAATTGGCCAACACCTTTCAGGACCACTCACCGACGCACCAGCCAAAGTGGCACAAGCACGTGAAGTCCAAGGCGCCTCAGGACATGATCATGCTGCGGAAGAATGTCATGGCGACTTTTCCCTTGTCATGCTAATGCCTACTGACTATTGACTATCATGATCATGGGGCCGATTGACTTGTTCAGGTCTTGAGCTCGAATCTCAGAGAGCCGTAACCAACTGCGAATCCAAGCTCTCGCAGGACAACATCCTGACAGCGCCCGGCTTGCAAGAGGCCTCTTACCTGGCCTTTCGCCAACAGGACACGTGGTGTCCCATCGCTTCGATCCCTGAGATGGATTAGTGATTAGTGGCTTCTAGCGACAGTTCCTGTGAGGATCGCCTGTCACGTGGAGCCCTGGACGCAGCCCAAAGTCGGCGCGGATTCGGCCAGGTCCTACATGCTGTATGCTGTGTGTTGGTTTAGTATCGGACACCCCCTTCCGACCGCCTGGCTTCTGTGGGTGGGCTTCACAGGGTCATCAACTTCTCTTGTGCTGACCGTCTTCCGCGTCCAACTTGTTGGAAGGTCGTCCTCCGGCTGTTTCCGGAGGGTGCACCTGTTCCCTACGGGACCACCCTTTTGGACCACGTCTTCTCAGAGCTCTGGCAGTTTAAGATGTGTTTGGGTGAGCTTGTGAGAGCGTTCGCAGCGATTGCACGAGCTATCACTCACCAAGGAGTGCGATCAGGATTTTGATGGGCTACTCCTCTGGGAGGAGTTCCAAGAGTTTGTCCTACGTGGCCTTCAGCCACTTCTCAAAGGCCGCCAGAGATTGCACCCATGTTTTGCAAGTGACTTGAAGTTTCGAGGCCAGAAAAATGGACAAAGCATGGCCTTGAAGGCCATGATGCCCCTGGCGCGCCGCAAGCGATTAGATCAATGGGGGCGCTGCAACTTTGGGCTCATATACGAATGCGGCTGAGGCCTTTGCGCATCAGGCGAGCAACCTGCAGGCCTCTTCCTCGGCAAAGATCAACTCCCTTTCTCCTTGTCATGTCTGTTATGTGTTGCTTCGACCGAGTCGTTGCGAGGCGTACCAGCCTCCGCAAGTCTCCAAGGCCCCCCCCCCGGCCAGCCGCCAAGTCAGTACATTCAGTACATGTCAGTACTCAGTTCTCAATATTGCACGGTCAACAGCATGTGTCTACACTGCTAGGCCTCATCTTACAGTCACTGAGACTGGCCTTTCTGGCGCCTCGTTTCTTTGCCCCTCGTATGCGTTCATGTTGTCGCTTCGAAGGAAGCTCCATCGAGCGTCGTTGACGTCGATGTCGTTGACTTCGCCACACCAACGGGTCTGAAGGATCGCCGATTCTTTTCAAAATCCACCACCTTTCAGAACTGATTCCGCATTGGGCAACTTGGTTCCCCAGGATGCGTCTGGCAAGTCCCGTGCCGTTGGCTTCACGAACCTTGCGTTGGTGCCCAGCGCTCGAGACATGACCGACTTACTGAAGGAGAGCGGGTTGCCAAGTTGCGCGCCGCCTGAGCTGGATGCAAAGAGTCTGAGAGGAGTATACATTCCCCGATACGGATGCTGCATTGGGACGTGGTGCTTTTGGCACCGTCATGAAGGTGACCCACAACGGTAAGAGCCTTGGAATCCTTAGATCTGAAGCGCAGTCAACCGAATCTTGGTGTGCTTGACGATCCACATAAACTTGCCAGGGACAAAACCGAGCTGCTGTGGGTTTGGTGACTTTTTTGTTCGCCACGAGCTAATCTCAGGTACCGGCGAGATGCGTGCCATGAAGGCCGTGCGCCTCTCGGACAGCGCCGACTCCGCGCAGCTTCGGGAGCGCGAAGCCATGAGACTAAACTAAATATGGTTTACATAATATTCTGTAGTTTAAATAATAGCAATAATACAAATAATAACAATATTCTATAATTTAAAAGATGATAATTTTCTATTGTGACACAGTACTACCAGTGACCATGACTCCAGTGCGTTTTTCCTCGTTTATGAAAAGGAGCTCGTGGAGCTCGAGGTGTCCATGCTTAAGAGCCTGGATCACGTAAACCTCCTGCGCCTCCACGAAGCCTTCCGAGACTCTGAGAGCCAGGCACTCAGTGCGATTGAAGTAAGGATATCAAAATGTTCACGTATTTGAATGCACTGTTTTCCACACAGGGGCACGTTTGAGTTGCTTTGGGCCGTTTTGGGCCATAGCCGAAACACAGAGAAAACCAACCAGTGTCACAGTGCGCGGGGACGCCGTCCTCTCAGCATAAACCAATCCGGCGAAACTGGGCTCTGATTGCCCAGTTCTGCCATACATGGGAAAGAGAATAGCGACGTTTTCTAGCTTGGCCTGCAAACTCTGGAAAGCCGGATCGACTACGGCTGTGGGCAGACAGACACGAGCGTGCACACACCCAGACAGCATTACAGAAACCCAATACTTCGAATTCAGAAGGTTGCATGTACTTGATCACCGAGCTCTGTGCTGGTGGCTCGCTGGCTGAACGCTTGGAGCATCAGAGGTTGGCCTGCCCAAGTAGCCTGAGTCCTTGTTCGTGTTCTTGCCGCGGTTCGCGATGATGCGCGGCTGACAGGACTCAGCTCCGAGCACCACTGCTAGAGGGGCTTGCAGCAGCCTATGCTGAGCAAATCCTCAGTGCTGCCAGCTATTGTCATGATCGAGGACTGAAGATGTCTGTCCGCCGAGCATGAGTAGGATTTGGTGATATTTGGTGATTATAGTACTTTGTACGTAGTAGTCGGTGACAAAGGAGTCGTTCGTAGTGAGGAATGGATACTTAAGAGTTAGACTGAGTAGCAGGTCATGATTCGTCATTCGTGGTAGTTAGTATGCACGTTTGTAGGGCTTAAGCTAGTATGCACTGCGCGACTGGCTTTCAACGGTTTGCAGGAGTGCTCCATCGGGATCTGAAGCCAGAGAATGTCCTCTTCTTGACAGCTCGTTCGGACAGTCCCATAAAGGTGATCGATTTCGGTCTGCCACGCAACTGCATGGAGACAATTGCAGCATTCAGCCTTGCCAATATGGCATATATTACGGCGCTATGCCCCGTTCTGAGGTCCGACACAGTAGAGCGAATTCGGCAGAACTGTACGCAGGCAGGCATCTGCGAGCGCATCTGCGAGATTCTGCAAGCATTCTACATCATTTAGCACTATCGTAACAAAGAACTCCAAGAGACCCCAACGCTCTGCGGCGCCCGCAGGAGATCCAGGATCGAAGCGGTGCTCTCGGCGCAGTGGCTCGGCTGCTGCCAAAGTTGCCTGGAGGATGGTTGGTGATGGCGCAAGTGAGATTACAGTAGCTACAATGTAGGTGCTACTCGTCGTTAGACAGTGTACCCGGTAGCGACAGAAGTTCTCCAAAACGTGCTGGGCAGGACTGGAGATTCTAGCAACGAAAGAGACCAAGGAGGCCGGAGCCTGGGTTGCCCTTGGGTTTAGGATGCTATCAACCCGCTGTGATCCGAATTCTCCTTGAGAGGTCATGCAAAGAGCAGGAACACCTCACTACATGGCTCCAGAGGCGACAAACAAGCTTTTGCAACCCACACTGGTCTGAGTCTCTGTACCATCCGTACCTACACAGGTCTACATGGGCAGATATGGTGACAGGGCTGACGTTTGGTCGCCGCCGGGCTGAACTAGTGAGTCTTTTAGTCTTTTAGTCTCTGCTTTGGTGATTTGGACATCACCGTGAAGGGACGGTCGAAGATTGCGTAGAATAAGATTCGGAGAGCATCGCTTTGGAATGCTTTGGAAGCATCTTTCCAAGCAAGCTGCAGGATCGGAGTCATCCTTTTCGAGATGCTCTCAAATCGGCATCCGTTTTACACTCCCGGAAATGACCTGGATGCGGCATCTCAGCTGATCAGTATTGCTCATGGCAGCGCAGGTGCGCCCACATTCTCTGCGACTTTGTGCTGTCGGGCCAGGTGAAGCGCCGCATCTTGAGCCCTAGCGGGGCAGACTTCTGCGATGCAGCCTGGCGCCAGGCACGGTGGGACAACGACAGCGACCTAGTGGCCGTCATGGAATCTCAGTCAAGCAGTCAACTTACTCTTTTCCCTGGCCCTGGACCCCCTTTCCTGCCGCACATATAGGACTCCTGCAGGCCTGCTCAGAGATGTTCTATGAGTTTGTATGTTTACAGCGGAGGAAACAGCAAGGCCCGAAGACATCTCTTGAGCAGCAGACGGCTTTTTGGGAGGTGAGCTCGGCTGCGCAGCGTGCGTGCAGGGAATGCCTGCAGTGGGTGTTGTCGCGCTTGTGGGAATTGCAGATATTGCAGAAGGCTCACTGCCATTCCAAAGCCTACCAGATTGTATCTCTCCCCGCTTTGGCCAGGTCGGATCCGGCTCGGCGACCGTCTTCTCAACAGATGCTGGCACACAAGTGGCCAGCGCCCTCAGCTTGCACCTCGGGTTTAGGCAGCTGTTTGTGTTCGTCAGGTTTGCGACAGTCCCTCGACTTGCCCTCGGAATGTCGGGCGGCATGGACAGCGGCCGTTCAGGACCGCCATGCTGTACCAACTCTTCGGTTGCTGAACTGTTGGAACTGTCACGATGCACAGGTTTCTTGGCCATGGCAAGATCACCGCCGCGCATTGCAGCTGCCCAGGCCAGTTGAGTGTTGCCTCCTGCGCTCTGCTGAAGTCGAAGAGCTGCGGGGCCGGAAGTGAGCTTTCGCACATCTCGTGAGCCCACGATCCTGGCATGTCCTGGAGGCTTAAAGATGTGCGCGCAGCTGTCTTTGGATCAAGGGAGGTGTCTCAGCTCTCCGCTCTCTGCGGTCATCCATCGATGGCTGAGGTCACGGGAAGAAACGATGAAGGGATCCTGTGAGAATGGGGAAGGGATGGGGAAACTCTGTGAAACTCCCCCTTTGAGGCGCAGAGCTCTGCGTTGCACCGCTTAGCCGAGAGCCCATGGGACAAACAGGAGCCCCCGAGTGCATCCACCTCACAAATTTTCAGTCGGGATATCATGCCAGATCCTGGTTTGCTGCACGCCCGCACAGGAGACCTGCTACATCACGCTCCTCAAAGTCCTGAGCAACATCGTGGACCACCCTGCCGAGGCCACGGCGATTCTTACGGTCGAAGCTATACGCTTGCTTCGCTAGTTGCCGCTAGTTTCCACGTTCAAACTTCTGCTCGGAGGCGAAGTTCCGGCATTTGAAGACCTCCAACGCTGCATTGCGGGCCAAGGCCAGCGTCAGTTAAACTGACGCAGTTATGTCTTGTTCAAGGTCAGACTGCGTCTGCTTTGGACTTTACGATGTTTTTGTTGTGCGCCATGGCGTATGGGTGGTGTGGTGTCCCCGCATGTGTCCGGATTGCAGGTGTTCGACCTACCGGGCGCCAAGGAGTTCCTGCTGAGCTGTGGCTTCACAGAGGAGGAGGGCGGAGACGTGCTGGTGGCGCGGTTCAAATCATGGTTGAGCTGAAATTGGCTATTTTGTTCATGACTGGCCTAGAAGGCTTGCGTTTCGGAGTCCACAATCATTGCAAGGCACGGCATATGGATTGGAGGGATGGGTTTCAAAAAAGAGTGTTAAACCACCATGTCGGCTTTACAGCCGGCCCTTAGTCTCGGCTCGACCTCTCTTGCTTGCAAGGTTTCAGGGTGGGTCGAGCATGTCGGAACTGGGTTGTTGTCGGAGAGATTTCTTTCAAATCCAGAGCCAGGTCTTGAGCTTGTGTTTTTCGGATATTGCTTGCAACGTGCAGCCGAGAGCAGAGGCGACAATCATCGTAGAAATGAGAGCTAGGCATTGAGAGGAGTGGCGGGATAGTGGCGACATTAGAGAAATGCTTGGGGGAGCAGCATTGGATCATCGGTGCGATGTGCTCTTGTAGGATCTTGCGGTCTTAGAACTCAGGATTGCCCAGCTGGGCAAGAAGCCCGAGTTGCTGCCGCAAGAGACTGCCTAAAGAAGCATGCCGATGACGAGTGTCTTGGCATCTTTTCATTTCTCCGGAGGAACAGGCTTTGATGTGACGATCCTTGACCGTGCGATTGTGAGAGTCCTGCTGGCGTTTGAATCAGAGCCTGGCTGGGATCTGGTGCAGCGTCGTGACAAGAGGGCCCTGCAATTCGGCACTTGGTACGAGGAAGATGAATGAGCTGCGGCGCCAGCGCGACGCAAAAATTGCCGAGGCGACCAAACCCAGCGAAAGCTTGAGAGAGCATGGATGGAGTTTCCAGCTTGGTCTGTTGTTTGATGTGCATGTGTGGTACCACTGTATCAGTACGCTTCTGTTACCAGGAGAAGGCGAAGGCAAAGAGAGATCCATTCACTTGCCACAAAGAGTTGGCGACAACAGATTCTTGGCCGGGAATGATGCCATCGTGACGCTGCCTGGTTTCGACTTTGATTTGCATTTGCAGACTACAAGAATAAGTTAGCGACCCCAGGAAGAAGAGAAGGCAGAGATAAGAAAGGACGGGACCAAGGGTATGACTGGGGCTTCACTTGGTGGATGTAGCTGATCGTGTGCCATTCATGTTTCGGGACCGTCCCCAAGTCGCAGCTTGCTCAATACCAGGCACTGGAGCGCGATCGCTTGGAGCTAGCAGCAGACATCGCGGCACGGGGGCCGACGCAGGCGTCCAAGGCCGGAAACTGCATCACACAAGAACAACAAGCAGTGCAGCCATGGTCCAACGGTAGGGCTGTTGATGTATGTTGATGTTCTTGCAGTTTCTTGCTTCCTGCTTAACCATGTCGCGTGAGGCGACGGACTTGAAGTTCGGCGCTCACGAGGCCAGGCCGGAGTGCGGCAAGGCCGGCGGCTGAAACTAAGCTGGCTGCGCTTTGCACCTTGGATCACTTAAGATCTTGGCTCTCTTGCTTTTTTTTGGCTTTACAGCTTTGCTGTTTCGATGTTCTGTTTCCATGTTCCTTTTTTAGAGTGCACTGCCGAGGCCAGCCAATTTGCTGATGTCTCCGCAACCCACATTGGAGTCTGAGCGGCTTGAAGTTCTAACCGCACGTAACCTGATTCACAGGCTGTGCGGTTGTCCATTGTGGGTCTGAGGACACTTAAAAGTTCCCTAACGGTTCTGGCGGTGTCTTTTTTCCGCAAACTGCCATGCTCTTTAGCCCAGGCCTGCCTGTGAAGAGGAGTCAACATACTGCACTCTTCTGAGACTTGTCGCTTCTGGTGCTGGTACTAGCTGGTACCCCGTCAAGGGAAATATTCCCAGCTGCTCTAAACCTATGTGTTGCAGCATGGTTGCAGCAACAGAAGCGGTGAGGACCTGGTAGTGCATGGCAAGCGGACTTGTTCGAGTCTCACTGTTGCAAGTAAACATTCATGTTTCATTCAGCAGAGTGGGTTTTGCTCAACACCGCAGTGATGGAACCGTCTGAGTTTCCACGCTGATGCTGCCAACTGTGCCAAGCATTGGCCACACATTTGAAAGCTACTTGGCCGGATGCCCAACATTGCTTGGCCCTCATGGCCTTGCCATCTTGAGCTTGCGAATGGAAAGGAGTCATGTGTGCAAACCGAGCTTTTGCTTAGTTGATTGGTTCTTACTATTTCGCAAGCCAAGCAACTAGTTTCCGATGCGCTTGCGGGCACTTGTTGCCAAGTGAACCACCGGAAAGGGCAGCAAAACTGAAACAGAGTTGGCTAGAAAGTATGAAGATGCTCGAGGACATGTTTTGCTACCGACCCTACGTTGCGAAGTTAGTTTGAAGCCATGTACAGTGCAGAATTCTGAGAGTTGACCGGGGGACCGCAGAGTGCGATGACCGGTTGATCCAGGCGGAAGATGAGACAGCACAGATGACGCTGACAAAGGTCTACAAACACTGCGTCTGTGTTGGCCATGGAGGTGGCCTCATGAGTGCTCATTAGGACCCTCTTCTTTGAACAGTAGCTTGACGTCCTCAGCTTCTCTCAGATGGCAATGGCAAGACATGACATGACTACAAGCCTTGGCATGCCTTCGCTCGTCGAGATTGGTGCATGCCGAGACAGCTGTTAGCAGCTTGCGGACGATCACAGCCAGCTGCGAATGTACCACAATTTCTGCCAACCAAGCATAAGCTCTGGAGCTGGCAACATCATAGTATCATGCGGCGATTCTGGAGTGTCTTCCCAGCTCACAAGTACTGCGAGGCGCAAGCGAACGCCGTGCCTGCACGATTTCATGCAAGTCCTGATATGTGCTCTTGCAGGAGCCCCGAAGAGCCAAGACAGGCGACGCTGGGGGAAAGCTCTGTGGGGGGAACGCTTGGTGGGGGAAGATGCCTCGTGTGCTGCGAGGTGCCCAAGGGGTTCTGCGAAGTGGACGGATGCTTTTTCAGGACAGCTTTTTCAGGACAGCTTTTGCGCACGTTCAAAGCACAAAACTAAGATCAACTCAGAGGGCTACAGAGGGTCAGATGGCGCACATGAACGTGGCTTGAGTCTCGCGCACAAGTCGTGCAGTTCAAATGGCCGTTTAGGGTGTGTGTGTGTGTGTGTGTGTGATGGTGTGAGTGTGAGTGCGTGTGCGTGTGTCTGAGTGCCTGTGTTCAAAAGCATCTCTGCTGACGGACGACGAAGGGTTTCACTTGTTGAAAACTCACTTCAGCACGTCGATGACGAAGCCGTTGCGGCTTTACTAGTAATTATTATGCAAGGCCATGTGGTCCATGTGGTAGCAAAGGAGATCTTGACAGACAGTAGCTTCCTCGGTTAGGACCTCCGGCTGAGCATGGCAGCACGCATGAATTTCGGGATCACTACAAGCGAATTCACGCAGATTCTCCGCGCATCTCCACATGCCTCGGGACGGTGTGGTATTAATAGATAGTAATAGTATTGGCCGTGGCTTCCACTTGACATGGCCATGGCTCAGAAGCTGCGGCTTGCTCGCCGGGCCTCCAAGTCTCTAAGCTTCTCCTAAGGACGTCCTCGTTTCGCATAAAAAGCGCCATCCTCGGTGTATACTCGGTATCTACTCGATGTCCACTCATATCATCTCAGATATTGAATCAAGTGTGCCGAAAATCGAGTGGATGCATGGGGACACATGTGGACGCTCCTGGCAGCTTGCTGGTCGAATCGGACCTGGGAGGAGTGCTGCGCCGCAACTTGGCCTAGTAGACGCTGCTTAGGGAAACTCGAGGAGTTTTATAGGGTCTTTTCTGGAGCTGTGGTGTGAAGACGGTGGCTCGCTTGCTCACAAACAATACTCTGCAGACCGGCAGTGCAAAGCATATTCGGAATGTCAAGGTCCGTTCCGAGTGGCATGGGACTGGTATGCGAGACTGCTTCCCTGGCTCCTTAGCTGCACTACTTCCGGAGTCAGGACATCTCTTGGAAGTCTCCTCACAGCACTCAGGAGTCGATGACTGGCAGAAGTGCTGCGGAGAAACGGATGTGCCGATCTCAGCAGTGGGAAAAAAGTCCCGGCACGTGCTCGACTCCCAAGCTCAACAACCTCGAAAAACTTGACACACACACACACACACACGCGCACACGCGCACACGCGCACACGCGCACACGCGCACACGCGCACACGCGCACACGCGCACTTAGCCGCTGTTGACGTGCAAGTGCATCTGGCTTCACTGCTGGACGGCCTTATGATTTTGGGAGGTTCCGCGCGACATCTTC